CAACCCGAGGAAGCACCCTGCAGCACCTGGGCGAACATTTGAAATTTATCGTGTTCGGCCTTGTGCTTGCGGTGCTCGATTTCCTCATCCCGGTTGTGAAAAACCTTAAAGGCTCCTGCCAAGATCTCAGTCTGGGGGTGGCAGGGCCTTGTTCGAGCTTTTTTTTTTGCCTGGATGTTGGGGTAGCTCTGCGAGAGGAAATATGTCATAGGGACATGACGGCCATCTGGGGTTGCGGGGTCTAGGTTAGTGTACTGCTGAAGGGCTTTCGTAAGCCGATCCAGAAATTCTGATGGGTCTCCTCTCGGTTTTGAAGAATCTCTTGTAATTTTTGGAAATTGACAGCCTGACGTGCCGCCTTTTTGAGCCCAGCCATAATACTTGCGGAGAATCGGTCCCTGCTCTGTATGCCAGCTTGTGTGTTACAATCCCAGTCGGGAGTTTGATCTGGGGCAGCAAGTGGCCCCGGAGGGTGATTGGGATTAACCCGGTGAGTTTCATCCTCATGGGCTCTGGCAAGCTCCCAGACTCTGGTACGTTCCTCAGGAAGGAGAGTGCTAGCCAATAACATGTATATGTCATGGTGAGTGAGGCTACAAGCCTGGAGGACCCGTGGGAACTGTCTTCTGTGGTGAATGAGCCCAGCCTTCGCTGAGTTGCATGAGGTCATTCATAGAGAACGGGACACGTACCCGGATAATGCCCTCAGGTCCGGCAACCTCTCTTAAAGGGGCCATGGTTTGTGGGACTAGGGAGTGGGACCTCGTTTGGGGGGGACTAAAAGTGTCAGGGGGAGCAGGGGGGGCCGACGGGGGAGGTCGGTAGGGTCACTGAGGTAAGAGCATAGGTCAGGGAGAAGGAAGAAGAGAAAAGGCCTCGACACAGGGGATCTCCCTCCATTTTAACAAGCGCTCCCAGGAGTTAAACAGAGCCCTGAGAATCGCGGGATCTAGGGATCCTCCTGGTGGCCACTGACTTTGTCTGATTCTGATTGGCCTTATCAAAGGCCACTCTTGTGTGCAGAATTTCGTGAGAGCCTTGGGATTTCTGTCAGGAGTGAGGGAGAGCCGATCCAGATTAGCCAGGAGGCATTTTACGGGGGAGTCTGCAGGGAGGGAAGAAGAGGCCCCCATAATGGTCCCTAAGAAGGAAGTGGGAAGGTGGGAAGGGTCTGGACCGGAACAGAATGGGATGAGCCTCCTCACAGGCGTCCCCACAAGGAGAGCTCAACCAATAGGACTCGGGAGAGTCAGGGCAGGGAGGACGGTGGAGTTGTCACCTGAGAGTCCAGCCGGCAGGCCCGGAATGGCCAGAAACCACACACCACGTGGCCCCAGGCTTTTCAGTTTATTTAGGCCAGGAGAGGGACAAGGGTGGTTAAAGAGAGGGGGAGAGAGAGGACCTCCCACTCATGAGCCGGGTTCCAGAGAGTCCACTGTGACCCTGAAGGTCCTGGTGGGGTGCGTTCTCTCCTCCAGATTGGGCGTCACAGGTGTGCCGGACGATCATGGTCAAAGCCCCTGCGTAGCCCGCCTGAAGTTGGATACCCGATAGGGGAACTCACCTACTGAAGAGCCGGTGTT